TGGTTTGCAACTTGTACAACTGCCTGACGCAACAACCCACTAATTTCTGCTAGTTTAGGCATGGTTAGGGCTCATTTTAGTTGGGGGGGTTTTCAGTGAGTACTAGTAAGGAAAAATGTAATATCCTGTTAGATACAGCAGTTGGCAAGATGATGTCGGTCCGTCTACTTTGCTCCAAAGTTGTTGAGGGTCATTGCCCAAGTGGAGGAACAAGTGATTGAGAACCACATATCTGGCCCCGTCGTTTTGTGCAAGAACAATTTTGAAATTATGCAAACTGAGCCCAAAAATGTAAAATGATGCGATTCTGTTAATTTTGACAAAGAATTATAAAGGAAAATAATCAGAATTTATGTAAAAAATGATCAAATTTTGCTAAATTATGCAGGGTGCATAAAACCACGGGGACAGACATATTGAAACAGTCGCGTGTGGCCGGAAAATCTGGACGGTTGAGAGCAAATCCTGGCCGTCATTTATCGTTGTACTGGGTCAAAGTGGGAGGTTTTCAGGAGAGGCAATTAAACTTTTATTTTGCTCCGGACATTGTGTTCCTACAAAATGTTTAATTTGTCTAAATCTGTTATTATTTGAAGAAGGGGAATGAGACAAGGATCAATTGATGTGCCTCAGACAAGGATCAATTGATGTGCCTCAGACAAGGATCAATTGATGTGCCTCAGACAAGGATCAATTGATGTGCCTCAGACAAGGATCAATTGATGTGCCTCATAAAACCTCCACCACACCCTTGTCTTTATTTTTTAATTTCTGATGTAGTGCAATGTTGAATGCTGGCGACAAAATGGATGTCAGAGTACTCTTAATGGATATTACAGAACCTTGATACAAATGACTAATTACAGAATACCAATGTTGGACCTTTTTCTTATATTGCGTTTTACACCACCACCTCATATGAAGACCTTTAGTCTCAACATGAACCACAGCATTAGCTAAATGGTGATGGGAAGTAGGGAATTTTGTATCTTCTCTTGTTGCTTTGATTTTTTCCAATGCTCCCACACCCTGTCATATCGCCCAGGTAAAAGTCATTAATTAAGATCTCAGCTTCCTGTCCTTGTTTTGTATCAGTAGCTGGTAGTCTGCAGAATTATAGGGCTCCTCACGCTCTCACTCAAAATGAATTTTATCAGCATTGCAATATTTATTATGTGCTAAATATGTTATTTCATCTTTATTTGCAGTAGTTGACAAAGTCAGGAGAGGGAAAGATAACCCCTTTCTCCTCCCCCCACCCCCCCGACCAAGTTTAGTTTTACATTTTGGATAGAAACAACTGAAGTTTGTAGAGCACAAATGTTTGCAAGCGTTAATGTGGCCAAGTTTTGAGTTACGATACAAGAGGAGGGATACCAGGTGAACAAAATCCATCTTCCAACAGATCAGTGGCTCAAGTACCCTCCACACTGACGCCACAACATACTCCATAAAAATATTGTTTTGGCATCCCAGAATATTTACCATTTACTCGTTTCAAACGACCGCATAGACAATTACTATTGATTCCTGAATGTTTTTGCTTGTTTATGTTACACATTTGAACGATTTATGATTCTAATGATTTATGATTCTAATGATTTATGATTCTAATGATTTATGATTCTAATGATTTATGGTTATAAGGATTTATGATTATAAGGATTTATGATTATAAGGATTTATGATTATAAGGATTTATGATTATAATGATTTATGAGAAAGAAAAACTATCAGCCACCAGGAGCCGGTGGTTTATTTCGCTCTGATGTTTT